TAAGGAGTGAGAGAGTAGCTATTGACCTGAAGCATTGAGGGAGGGACAGAGGGATGGATTTGGAGCATCCACAGAAACTGCACTCTCACCAAAGACTAAAGGCAGCATCTTAAAGAACGCCTGAGTTTTTCTCATGAATTTTCCCCAGCTCCAGAGTCAAAGGAGTGAGCTGACTTGGATTCCTTTCAAGCCTCGCCCCTTATAATGCCTGGGGTAGCGGTGGGGACTTCAACAGGGAGAGTTCTGTGTGGGGTGAATCCAGGAGCAAACAAGAGGCTAAGTGGGGTGCAGCTGCCTGATAAGGTGAGCATATTCCACCTGGAGCTGCCCAGTAGAGGGGAGGAGGGGGAACCTGAATGAACAAGGAAAGTTCCTGAGAAAAAAAGGTTTGCATATCAGGTGGGCTCAGCAGCACCTGTAAGGTGGTCACTCTCCTTGTGAAGAAAGCTGTACATCCTCAATTCAATCCAAAGTAGTCCAAAAGCCCTGATTCTCAAGAAGGGCAAGGTGGAACAGGGAAAGGAGGAATCCGGGGGTGATACTGTCTGAGTTGGCCAGGTTCAAGGTTCTGACAAGATGAACAGGCATCCTCATTACCAAGTGGAGGCTGCATTGTGACTTAGAGTAAGCTAATTCATTGAAAAAAAAAATAGTGGAGAACAAAAATACATTTTCATTTTATTGCATCCTACTCATTATACTTGTCCCACATCCCACTTATAATCTTGTCTAACAGTTAGGGTTACTCTTTATTCTAGAGTATTCCCACAGGGTTGAGGGAAACACATCACTTTTGCTAACCTGGAACATTCTAGGTTCCAGTGATGCCACGTTTTGTCTGGACACAGCTAGGATCAAGTAAGTTTTTTTCTTATACTGCAGAGCATTTATTTCTTCATTCATTCATTTAATATGTATTTGTTGAGTTCCTAATATATATCAGATATATTTTTTAATAATCTTGGCTTGAGGTTTTAGGCATTTACATCACGAGAGAGGCTAGCGCCAAGAGAAGCAGGCTTCTGGGCTCAGGGGACCATGTTTCAAGGCTGTGGAATGCTCTGGAGTTATTCAAGTAAACTTGGTGCCCAGAGGTTCACTGTCTAGGGGACACTGGAGAATGATGCTAAGATGGACTGTATCTGGTTTTCACATACCCCTACTAGTCTTTGATTCTCTAAAAACTGAGACATGTCTACTGCTAACTTAATCTTCAATAAAAGAAAATTCTAAGAGAGGTTTTAGGTAAGAAATATTCTAGAAGAAAGCCATAGACAATAGCAAATGTCACAGAACAATTGGGTTGAATTGTGTCTCCCAAAGAACTACTTGGAAGTCCTAACTCCCTCACCTCCCGATCTTACCTGTGCTTGTGGCTGTTATTTGTAAATAGTCTTTGCTGATGTGATCATATTAAAATGGCTCATATGGGATTAGGGTGGGCCTGCATTCAGTGATTGGGGTTTGTTAAGCAGAGGGAGATGGATATGCACAGATGTAGAGATACAGACAAAAATGGAGACTGCCAGGGGAAGATGGAGGCAGACGTTGGAGGGATGCAGTACAAACCAAGAGATGCCAAGGAGTGCTGACAAACACAAGAAGCTAGGAGAGAGGCATGGAGCAGATTCCTACCTCAGATCCTTCGGAGGGAGTGGCCCTCCCGACACAGTGATTTTCAGATTTTTAGCCGGCAGAATTGTGGGAAAATACATTTCTGTTGTTTTAAGGCACCCAATCTGTGGTAATTTGTTACGGCAGCCCTAGGAAATAATACAAATGGTAACTGCAGAAAAAAAAAATTGAGAATAATGAGGATGGACTGTACCAACTTTCCTTTGAAAATGCTTCAATCTAGGATGTTTTAAGAACGTTGTTCTGTCAGATCATAATATGTACGAATCACAGGTCAGAAACAGATCAAGTCACAATTTGGTAAGCAGAAATAAGTGCTCAGAATATAACAACAGAAGCAGTAGCACCTAACTATGTATATTTAAGCATACAAAAGTGTTTGTAAACTGTTAGATGCTCTAAAAAAACAAGATAGCACTTTTGAGCTTATGCTTTCATTCCTTTTCATTATAAAAAATTAACTAGCTATATATATATATATATATATATATATATATATATATATATATAAAATTAATTTTGCTTTGGGAAATATTTTGATTCTCTTGTTTTTGGGTTCCAGTCAAGTTCCTTTACGAGAAAACAAATTCTTCCAGTATCTGAATTTTTATGATGCACATGGATTACTTTTATAATCAGGAAATGAAACTATTTTCTAATTTAAAAATAAAAGGTTATGATCTACGAGGGTATACAGACTATTTCTATGTTTCTGTTTGTAAGTTGACCAAAACTAGCGTTAGCTAATAAGACACTTAACCTCTTTCAATGGTTAAGAAGCTAACAGGAATGAAAGGGTGATGATGACATTCAACAAAATTTTCCATAAAAAATTATTATTTTAAGTGTTTTTATTTAGACCATGTATTTAAATGTGTGAGTACACAGAAAAAAGAAATATGAACAAGATTGGACAGAAACATAGAAAATACTGAAGTGAGTGAATGCTGAGTGATACAATTTTTTTTCAGATTGTGAAAAAGGTAATAAAGTTTTAGAGTCACAGTTATTCAGTATATTATATTCCTGGAAACTAAGTGAATTCAGTTTATACCTTTGGGTTAGAGGAAAATGATTTTGTTTTAGATGCTTTGTCTACAATAGACTAAACAGGCACCTACCAGGTTTTTGGTTTATGGTTTTTGGTTTTTCATTCTCCAAAAATTTATTGAGTATAAACCAGACACTGTGCTTGAAATATGCTGTTAACCAGACAAAGAAGCTCCTTAATCCAAGGAACTTTATAGGCAAGTGTTAAAGGCATAAATATGTATTAAATCAAATAATCCCATAAATAAATCATCACAGACTATGATACATGCCATGAAAGAAAAGTTTGGGCAAACCATGAGAGGGAGCTTGATGTGTTCTCAGACAGTAAGTGAGGTTTCGTCGCGGAAGACACATTTGAGTTAAGTTCTGAAGGATGAATAGGAGTTACCTAGGAAAGGGGGAGGGGCGGAGGAAGGTTGGCAAGGGGCCATCCAAGAGGAACAGCGGACAGGAGAGTGTGCAGAGCATCTGCGGACCTGAACGAAGACCACAGTGACTGATGGCAAGGAGCAAACGGGAGAGTGGCCTGAGCGATGGGGCAGCGCACGGTGTAAGGACACTGGCCTTTATCCTAGGAGACATGGGCAACCGTTGGAGGTTTCTTGGTTTTGATTTTTTTTTTAAGTTTTTCATTTTATTTTATTGGGGACCAGTGTGTTTTTCCAGGACCCATCAGCTCCAAGTCAAGTAGTTGTTTTCAATCTAGTTGTGGAGGGCGCAGCTCTCTGGCCCATGTGGGAATTGAACCGGCAATCTTGGTGTGATGAGCACTGCGCTCTAACCAACTGAGCTAACCGGCTGCCCCCATTGGAGGTTTTTAAGCAGGGGACTACATAGTAAGATTTGTACTTTATGTTCACTCACGATGCTCTGGGGAGGGCCAGAGAGGAAGTGGAGGCCAACATGGGAAATACATAGAGGAAGGGGAAGACAGAAAATGAGAACACACCATCCTTTGTGGACTGGGAGGCAGTGCAGTAGAGATGAAGAGCGTGGGGTCTGAATCAATCTGCCCAGCTTGGTGTCCTGGCTTTGTCACTTACTCTATGTCCTTGAGCAAATTACCTAAGCTCTCTCAGTTTCCTCATCTCTAAAATGGGATAGTATCTGTCTGCCTCCTGAGTTGTATGAGGATTAGATGACTAATGCTTCTAAAGTACTTAAAACAGTATCTGGCACACAGTAACTTCTCATTAAACGTTGTGGCCCCAGGCCACACGGCTACTACATAAAAACAGAAAGGACTGAACTGCTCTGATTATGGCTGGGGGTAGGATGGGCTGGGCCCTGAGCCTCATCCACTGCTCCACCCCTAGGACCACCTTATCCTAGGTCCTACCCACGCAGTCCTAAATTCCTGGGACTTTAGTGATGCCTTCTCAGCCAAATAACATTGGCCTCAGTGTGGCCCATTAGGAGCCTGTCTCCTGGGCATCATGTGAAAAAATGGGGTGACCGCAGGCAGCCAGTTTAAGAGTTCTGCCATATGGGGCCACTCTTGGCTTTATTAAAAACCAACTAGAACCACAGAGGCTGTTTGCTTCTCATACTTCAACAACAAAAAACGTTTAAACACTCTTCTACTTGCTAACTTGTATACAGACTTTTTAAAAAAATAACAATGGGTGGGTGTGTGGCGGAGGGTGTGGGGGGGACAGAGTGGAGGCCACAAAAAAGACATGAACAGCCTTGAAGGAAATGTAGATCTCAGAAGGGTATGGCTAACAGAAATGCTTTTGACGCTTATGGTTGCTTGCTTTACTCACTCTGGTTCTGGCCTAGTTTCAAGCACTCAGTCAACACTGGGTTCTAACCTTCTGCAGGTTTGCTTGGGGGCAAGGAAGTCCAGATGTCAACCACAGACCCCACCCCAGGAATGGCCCCCTGAGATCTCCTGGCCTGTGGCTGGCAGGGTCACTGGAAGATGAGGACAGGGTCTGTGAACCAACAGCCCAGCCAGCTATTCCAGAATTAGGTCACAACGAGGGGTACTTGGACTACCTTTGTGCTAGAACATCTGTTCCGAGCCATTGCCAACATTCCTGACTAGATGCAACCTCCCGGCAATTCTGGTTTATAGCTATGGGGCTACAGGATCACAAGGGCAAAAAGGCTTCATGTATCTGAAGCCCGGGGTGGCCTATAAACCCGAACTACATCGGGACAAATGAGAGCTCTCACCAGTCCAAAGAAAGTGGACCCAAAGGTCAAAAGAGCTGGGGAGAACTGGACAGGGGTGGCCCTCCCCAGACAAGGTGGGCTGCTGGACAGCGCAGCCTCACAGAGGATGAGAAAACAGATGGGAGCGCTACTTAAGATTGTAAAGACAATACTCATTCATTGAGAACAGGTGTAGGAGAAGGAAAACTGGCAGTCGGCGAACTGTCCCCAGCAGCCCTGGAGAAATCAGGTAACTTCTATCACGGAGAGGGCAGGGCTGGTGATGTGGTTCTTCAGGGCAGTACAGCCTCTCTCCACTTTACCTCATTTGGCCAGGGCCAAGTTTGTGGATTGTAGCCGCTCTGTGTCCTGGCAGATGGTCTGCCCCACTGTGTCACACTCAGCTAGGAACGCCTGAACCCTTTTCACCAAACCTTTCCTTTTCAGCCTACTGTCTTTGAAATTTTCTGGCAGAATTGGTGTGTCAGTCTCCTCCAGAATCTTCATAAACTGCTCGATTGTGGCTTTTACTCTCCTATCGCGTTTGCAGAGAGCTTCAGCTTGCAAATCCTTGGCCAGAAAACCCTGCTGGATTCCAGTAAGCTCCTTATTCAACTCTCCCAGTTGGTTAGCGATCTTCTCCACAGACTTCTCCAAATCTTTCAACTCCTTTAGTTCAACCTCTTCCTCTGGGCTACTCTTTTTTTTTTTAAAGATTTTTATTGGGGAATTGGGGGGATGGGAACAGTGCTGGGGAATTGGGGGAAGGGAAACAGACAAGTTGCTGTCGTTTTGTTCTTCAGTCTAGTTGTGGAGGATGTTGCTTCACTGGCCCAAGTTGGCACCATCATTGTGCTCTGCCTGGGAGAGGCAGATTAGTCGCCGGCTTCTGGACGCCGCTCACTGTGGCTGCTGGCTATACACGGTAGCCCATGGCAACCCACTGCAGCAGGGGCTGCCGTCTACGCTGTCACCTGAGACTCACGGCAGCCCAGCTGCAGGTTGAGCTATTGTTCAGCATCTTAGCTGTGGAGGGCAGTGTCACTGGCCCTCATATGTGGGATCCGAACTGGGGCCCTCTGGCATCCCAAGCGAGTTCTTAACCATCGCGCCACTCGGCCGGCCCTGGGCTACTCTTTTTCCCAATTAACATGACCCGGCAACCATTTTGTATTCCCAGTGCAGACAATGGCTTCTCCATTTCCTCCAGAGATTTTCCCTTAAATATGAGTTTCTGAAAATCCTACCAGGTTTTTATAGTCAGGTTTTCAGAGGTGACATAACCTGAACCAAAGAGAAATGAACACAGCTAAACCATCTGAGAGAATCACTGACTAGTTTAATAACAGTTTGAATGTATTTATCATCTTTGCAGAATCACGGGGGTGGGGGGTGGGGGGGGTGGAACACCTCCTCCCTGGCACCCCTGCTGTGCTTTCAGTGGCATTTCACGGCATTGTGTTTCCTCCTACCACATTCACTATCACTTTTCTCTTTTTCAGTGACTATACTTTCTCTTTTTACCCCTTAAAGTGCCTCAGTCATCTGTGTACATCCCTCTTCTTTAAATTCCCACAGCCTGATTCAGGACATTACACTCCTCTCTCAATGCCCTCCGGGCTACGATGATGAAATATGAAGGCCTGCGGGGTGGGTGTGGGGGTGTGAATGTAGGGTGGGGGGATGTGTGTGTGTGTGTGTGTGGGGACAGACACTTTCTCTGTTTGCCTCAGTGCTTCCACTGGAGGGAGGGATGCCTCTTTCTTCCCATAAAGAGAATTTCTGTTTCCCAAGGCATGTGCCTATGGGCTGTAGCCACCTGGAGAGTGCACTTTTATTCTTTTTTGTTGTTGTTGTTGTTAAGTGAATCTGCCTAGAGGAAGTGCCTATTTCTAATTTACCCAAAGACATTATTTAAGAGGAGAACTTAAGTGTTCTCTCACACACAAAAAATAGATAAATATACGAGGTGTTAACTGGCTAGATGGGGGGCATCCTTTCATAATGCATAGCAAACCATCGTGATGTACACTTGAAATGTCTTACCAAGTGATTTGTCAATTATCCCACAACCCCAAAGCTGGTGGGGGAGAAATCACTCTAGGTATTTCAGAAGGATGTAAGATAGCTAAATGTTTCTAGATTGTTGGAAAAGCGGAGGCCCCAAAGGCAGGAGGCAATGCACGTAAATGTAAGAAGGTTCTACAGCTGCTCAGGCTGAGAAGCAAACGGGCCTTGCCCGGGACCCACAGGGGAGCCTCACAACTGGTGCAGCCACAGAGCAAGGAGCCAGGAGCCTGCTGTCCCCCCCTATACTGCTGGGCTCACGGCTGATGGCGCAGCAGTTGCTGGAGCCAGAAGCAGAAAAACAAAATGGCTTTTCTCTTTCTCCTGACTTCCAGCTGACTGCCAGTGTTTCCCATTGGCAGAATTGAATCAAAACCCAGTTAGCAAAGGCGTCAGGAGTCCCAGAAAACAGTTGGGAGGTGTCCAGTCCTTGGCAGAATAAAGGAGAGAAGAAAAAGGTATGGGTGGGACTGAGGGCCAAGGGGGAACTAACTGATGGGCCCCAGAACAGATTATAATAGAAAACGTGGGGAAAACAATTCTACTCCCTTTACCCATTGGCCACTGTATAGTCTGGGCAGCCTGACAGCTCCTGGGAGTAGGTCAGTGGTTCCCAAAGTCTGCTGTGTTTTGAAACACCTGGGATCTTTATAAAAGTACCCAAGCCTAGTTTCCACCCCCTGGATGTTCTAGTTTAATCGATAAGGGGTTCAATCTGAACATAAAGATTTTGTGAGACCTCCGAGACTGCTCTAATGTTTACTACATTTGAGGCCAGTGCCATGGGTGGTAATGGCAGCCAGGGTATGTATCTATGAAAAACGTGGAAGCTCTAGACACTTTGCAGGCAATTGTCCTACATAAAGAAATCAAGAAACTTCAGCAGGGTCAAGGCACCTTGAAATACAGACTGGACCAATATACGAAAGCCAAACTCATAATCCAAAAGGGCTTGACGATTATTCCCATTATCTATGACTTCTTTACAGTACGAAACACTCAAGGCAGGGTTTTTATGTACAGGTTAGCCTCATATATTTACAGTGTGATTAGTATCACCCTAAGTGGATTTGCACAGTGTCTTCAGGAAAATATCTTTTGTACTTTTGAAGAGTGTTTCGATTGTAACAACACACACACACACACACACACACAAATATTGCAGAGTAAGGTGGAATGAACACTGAACTTTGACACAGACCAACACAGTGAATTACATTCTATGATTTGCCTTTTATCTAACAGTGTGTCATTAAGAGACTAAACCCTCTGGACCTCTACCAAAAAAATAAAAATAAAATCAATAGATGATGTATGAGAACCTGTCTAGCCCAAATACAAATATTCTGGCTTGTTTCGTTTTGGCATTTATATTACGTCTTTGTCATAAAATACTTTGCGTAGTTTTTGCACTTTTGACCTATCCTCCTAAAGCCCTTTCGAGGAAGGAATCACTCATGTGTTGGTGAAGGCCCTGAAGCTCCGCTAGTCTCTCTTCTGAATGGGTGAATCTAAAATTACAAAGTGAATACACGACAAGCTACGGGAGTCTCTCCCTACTGTCTGCGGCAGGACGAGCTGTCTGGCAGAGGACATTCCTGCGCTCAAATGTTTGGCCTGTTCTGACCATTAAGATGTGCTCCATACACACACTGCCCATCCATTTTATATTTACAAAATAAGGGTTAGTAAAATACTATTAAATGTAGAATGAAAATACAAATGCGTATTTTTAATAGTTACAACTGTTTCCTAAGAGTGAACGAAACAGGGACTGTATCTTCTTCTGTGTTGGTGATGGAGACTTTGAGCAAAGGACAGAGTCTACTTGAATTTCTTATTCTTTACTTCCATTACGTGAACACATTTTGAGTTACAATTGCAGATTATTTGGGAAGGCAGCCAGAACGTAGTGATTCTGTCAGATAGTCCTGGATAGTTGGTGCAAATGGAATAAATAGCCCCTTTCAGCACTGTTTCTGGATGCCACGTGGGTAGGCGTGTTTCAGGCCCAAGCTCCCTGATGGACTTGTTCAACTCAGGGGATGTTGGTGAATGGATTGCCGATCTACTCCGTAGGGGACTGAGCACTCAACAGGATGTGATTTTAAAATATCCCTAATAATTTATCATTGTTTTATTTCTTTAGAAAGTGAAGAAAATAATAAAGGGTTAGGAAAAAATAAATTTTTTCAGCAATCTGGTTATTTATCCTCCGTCATATTTAATTTTATGTGATCGTCATCTTGACTGGACCAAGAAGTGCCCAGATGATTTCTTGGTGTGTCTGTGAGTGGGCATCATTGCATTCATTGATGCCCTGAATAGAACAGAACTTAAGGCGGAGGAAGGAGGAATTTGCCCCTTTCTTTCGCCTCACGGGTTGAGCTGAGACATTGCATCTTGTTTTCTCGTGCCCTCAGACTGGAATTTACACCATTGGCTCCCCTTTTTCTCAGGCCTTCGGACTTGGACTGAATTACATCACTGGCTTTCCTGGGTCTCCAGCTGCAGACTTGCAGAGGATGGATGGTGGGACTTCTCATCCTCTATGATCATGTGAGTCAATTCCGTGTAATCAATAAATCTCTTGATAGATAGATAGATAGATAGATAGATAGATAGATACATAGGCAGGCAGACAGATAGATTCTCTATATATCTCCTGTTGATTCTGTTTCTTTGGAGAATACTCTAATACACCCTCAGATGGGCATTTTTCTTAAGATATATTGTCCTTTTATTTACAATATTAACAATAATATGGGGATCCTTAAATAATACATTTAGACTCAGCAACATGCTGAGTATGTCACTGATTGGTGTCTAGTCTATGCCACCTGAGCAAGCCACATAAAACCATAGAAACATTTGAACTTTCAATATTAGAATTATTCATTAAGAAACAGTTTCATCTCATATTGCATTATTTAAATTTGGGTGAGCATCTTTAACTTTGAAATGCACTAGTCTTCATATGGGAAATTAGGTTTGTATCTGCTGCCCATGTCTTCACTCAGCATGCTGAAAAGTTGTAGACCCAGAAAATGGGCTTTGAACATATTTAAGAGATATACTGCTTCTTTTATCACCGACTCATAATCCAGAAATCTAATTTTGACTACCAGCCGTTTCCTGCCTCTGTGTGGACTGGTGCTCGTGGTATCCATCTTCTCTTCACACAGAAATGACCTTTCTTGGTACATGTATTGCTGACCCTCCATTACTGCTGATGTTAATGTCGTCTTCTCCAGCTAAATTACAGCACACAAAATGCATGCAAACTAAATGCCGTTGTCTTTTCCCCAGAGCTCTGGATTTTTAGTAACAGAGCAAACAAATACTAACCAACACTTTCTCCTTGATGGAAGTAGCACAAGTGTTCTAACAGCAGAGTCCCAGTCTGTCCCTCAGGTTTTCCACAGCTAGAGACCAAAATCCCTGATGGAGTGGTCATGCGACAATAATGGGTCTTTTATACTACATGTCATTACCACTATGTGATAACCAAAACATCATTTAATGAGGGGATTTTTGCAAGTTTTCTCAATAACTTTTTCTGTTTTCTCTTTGAACAGAACATTAGTTCTTAATTTTCTACCTGATTTTGCAAGTGTCTTGCCACACTGTGA